GAGTGAGTGGAGTGAAGTGAAGGCTATTATAGCCATGGAGGAGAGGGCCAAATTCATAATAATGTCCATGGTTTTAGATGGGATGTTCAACAACCTCATATAGGTGGTAATTGTCAGGTGTCCACAAACATTTGGCCATATAGTGTATGTGTGTTTAAAAGTATGAGATATGTACAGGTGAAACTCGAATAATTAGAATATCGTGCAAAGTTAATTTATTTCACTAATGCAACTTAAAAGGTGAAACTAATATATGAGATAGACTTATTACATGCAAAGCAAGATAATTCAAGCCGTGATTTGTCATAATTGTGATGATTATGGCTTACAGCTCATGAAAACCCCAAGAACCCCAAATCCACAACCTCAAAAAAGTAGATTATTACATGCAATCAATAAAACAAGGATTGTACATGAACAATATCTGACCTCTGAAAAGTACAAGCATGCATATGTACTCAGTACTTGGTTTGGGCCCCTTTTGCAGCACTTACTGCAATGACTTTTGCACGATATTCGAATTAATCGAGTTTCACCTGAATATGTGCATGTCACAAAATAACTATCTGTCATAGTAAATGTGACAAAAAGATAGAAGCAATGTTTAAAAAAAAAGCTGAATAAGTAGAAGTAACACCACAAGTGACACAGTAAAATGGTTGTTTCATGTGACCAACAGTCTTAGCATATATTTATTATATTAAAACAGTTTCTGTGCAGACTTTGCTGTATGTGTATAACATTTTTTTTCTTTTAAGTGTATTTGTGTGTTGTATTCTGCCTTCTATAACGTAGTGTACTTTATTTTACAAAGAAAATGTTGGCTGTGCATGGTACAAGTGGATTGTGGATAACAGATATTTATCCTTTGTCTAAGGCACCTTTAGTAAGCTCAGTCACTGTTAAGCCAATTACAGCAGTTAGCCACAAAAAAAAATGAGATGTTGGAGGTGTATATATATATATATATATATAGCCCAAATTCTAGAGTTATATATTCCAGGGAATGCTCTAATGCATTTTTAATACAATATATTTTGTGCAGGTTTGAACGCAGATAAGCATGAATAAAGTGAAACATTAAAATGGACCTGTGCACCTAATGGAATACAGAAGCCATTTAAACTACTCTTTAATTAAAAGTCAGAGTACACAAACAGTTCACATGCTGTAAAACAAGTGTAACAGATATTAATGAGGGACCCTAAGAGAAGTTCATTAGTGTTGGTTTTTTTATGTACACTATATGGCCAAAACAGTTTGTGGACACCTGACCATCATACCTACACTATGTGGCCAAAGTATGAGGACACCCTTCTAAATTATTGTGTTCGGGTGTTTCTGGTGAATGGTACTGTTAATGCTGCAGCATACAAAGACATTTTAGATAATACTACACTTTTAATTTTCTAGTAATAGCCATGACTATTACCTTATGTACAAAGCCAGATTCATATAGATATGGTTTAATGAGTTAATGTTGAGGAACTTGAGTGATCTGTATAGACGATCAACCCTTTTGGTTTGATGGGTTAATGTTAAGGAACTTGAGTAACTTGACCTTAACCTCAAGAAACACCAAAAGTTCTTCTCTTTCAACATCAGTACCTGACCTCACAAATTCTCTTTTGACTGAATGGGCATGAATTACCACAGACACTGTCCAAAATGTTGTGGAAAGTCATCCTAGAGTGAGTGGAGTGAAGTGAAGGCTATTATAGCCATGGAGGAGAGGGCCAAATTCATAATAATGTCCATGGTTTTAGATGGGATGTTCAACAACCTCATATAGGTGGTAATTGTCAGGTGTCCACAAACATTTGGCCATATAGTGTATGTGTGTTTAAAAGTATGAGATATGTACAGGTGAAACTCGAATAATTAGAATATCGTGCAAAGTTAATTTATTTCACTAATGCAACTTAAAAGGTGAAACTAATATATGAGATAGACTTATTACATGCAAAGCAAGATAATTCAAGCCGTGATTTGTCATAATTGTGATGATTATGGCTTACAGCTCATGAAAACCCCAAGAACCCCAAATCCACAACCTCAAAAAAGTAGATTATTACATGCAATCAATAAAACAAGGATTGTACATGAACAATATCTGACCTCTGAAAAGTACAAGCATGCATATGTACTCAGTACTTGGTTTGGGCCCCTTTTGCAGCACTTACTGCAATGACTTTTGCACGATATTCGAATTAATCGAGTTTCACCTGAATATGTGCATGTCACAAAATAACTATCTGTCATAGTAAATGTGACAAAAAGATAGAAGCAATGTTTAAAAAAAAAGCTGAATAAGTAGAAGTAACACCACAAGTGACACAGTAAAATGGTTGTTTCATGTGACCAACAGTCTTAGCATATATTTATTATATTAAAACAGTTTCTGTGCAGACTTTGCTGTATGTGTATAACATTTTTTTTCTTTTAAGTGTATTTGTGTGTTGTATTCTGCCTTCTATAACGTAGTGTACTTTATTTTACAAAGAAAATGTTGGCTGTGCATGGTACAAGTGGATTGTGGATAACAGATATTTATCCTTTGTCTAAGGCACCTTTAGTAAGCTCAGTCACTGTTAAGCCAATTACAGCAGTTAGCCACAAAAAAAAATGAGATGTTGGAGGTGATCCTCCCTCCCATGGCCGTTGTCGGCCAACTTAATAAAGAGAGGAGATTCAGGTCATTATGCAGGCAGAAGGCTTTGCTGGGCAAGGTGACTACGGTGGAACATGCTGGTAAAATGTCTATTGGCCCTCAGCTTGTAGTCCTACTCAGAAGCAACCTGGTTCAACACCAGAGCTACTAATCCTATCATTCTCAATGTAATGTAAATGAATGAAGCCAGACATGTTTGAACTCCAGTGGCAACCATGGCTCCCTTGATGGAAGAGAGGAGAAATTAACATAGCTACCAGGGAAAATAAATGTGTTATTCACAGGATTACTAGACACAAATTAAGGAAAACAAGCACGATAAAAGAAAACAAATGCAGCTACCCCATCTAAAGACTTGCTGCAGTTTATACAGGTATATTATGTGTATGAATATCTCCCTCTATCCTCCTTATGAGCATTTGAATATAGTGTGAAACCTATCCCATGCACAACAAGTTTTAATGTTGTGTTAACTTTCACATGCTTGTTGGATTGGATCCTATAAACAATTTATTGCCATTGACATGCATTGGCCAGGTTGTACTGACCTACAGTACAAAGTAGTCTTATATGCTGGAAACATGAGACAATTTCAAGTACACAGAACTGTCTCACATTACCTCAGAACGATATAATAGCTGTGGTCTGGAACCAACTGAATTTATAGCTCAATGGTAATCACTGACAGTTTCTTCAAGCTCACCCACACTCTTGAAAGGAGCTTTCTTCTAAATGTCTGTATTTTTGTCTGAACATTAATTTCAGAATGACCTGTTGTGTATGATTAACATAATACTGTTATATCCAGCAAATAATTCAGACTAATCTGGGAATACATAGCTAGCATAGAAACTTTGAGATCAAACATTTGCTTTCCAAAATACATAACATGCACCATCAAAGTCCCAGAAAGAATAGACCAATTTTACATAAGTTATTGCAATCAATTATTTTTTATTGCTTTGGTTTATTACTTGGTAAAGCAGATTAAATGCGTTTATAAAGGAGCTAGACTTTATGGGCCGACAATATCCTGCAAATGAGACGAAAACCAATAGGTTTTCATTTTTATTGGTTTAATTAGTCTTCAGAAAGTCAGAATGAAATGGCAACAGGGGACAATAAGGTCTTGGGTGACCTGCCTCACCAACTGTTCTAAAGTCTGGTGCACTTGTCCTTTGTCAGAATGACAACGCTACAATATTGCAGTTTGACTGAAGCCTCATAGGTCCCGAACCACTGGTCTTTTTCTTGGGCTTCTAATCTGCCATGTAGGATTGAACTGTTAACACAATTAAAATTTTGCTGGAGCTATCATGAACAGAAGAAAAATAACAATGTGTACAGTCTCCAATCTCAGGTGTACACCTAACTTGAGCTTAGACTTTGCTCACAAACGTCTTTGTTCTTCCCTAGTAATATGTTCCAACAAACATTTAAATACCTTAACTTTTTCTTATCCTACGCTCTTGAACTCCACTCTACTTGCCAGAAAGCATTCAGCATCCTAACCGGTCTTTACATTTAATTGCAGAATGCAATATAATTTTACTCACAACATCTTTCACCACCTGTTATACATAAATCTAATCAATAACAATAACCAAGGTGTACAGATTAAATAATCCTGTCCTAACACTATTTAAAGTGGTTTGCCTTTTCTTTAAATTTAAACTCATTTTGGAATCGTAGTCACCCTAATGATCAATATTCAAATTTATCTAATATTCTAAAAAAAATGTTTATGTTGCTTGAGAACCAAAAATAGTTTTTAGGTAAATTGTCCATGAACAGAAGTATATGATTTAAACATAATAAATGTTTGAATATAATCACATTGCAGTTCTTTTTCATCATATATTATTCCTATTTTTTACTTGTTTTTCACTTTGCAGCTCTTGAGGACCTCAGATATTGAATTCCAGATTTTAAATTAGCAGGAGGTGAAATTCTATTTGTCATCAATTTTTTTCTGGAGGTTACAGAGCAGAAAACCGCAGATAAGCCGCTTCTTTGATGGCTCTTTCCTAAAAATCTCTTTTTGTTCTTTATCTATTTGATGTGACAGTGATCAGTGCAGGGACAAGACAGGCCTCTCTGGAGAAATCACCTTCCCCTTTCTATTGACAGATTCTTCTGATCTGAATCAGACGGGCCATGCCCTATCATAGTTACTAAGACACTGCTAGTAGCCACCAATTAAACCTTTAGGAATAGTGAAACCTGAAGCCACTTTTGAGTGTCTGTTCTTATTAGACATGGTGAGAAAACTTCTGACACCCAAAAGCGAGGATCCGTGGTCTTATTTTTTCTCTCTTGTCTTTTCTAGATGTGAGAGGTGCGAGAGGAGCTTCACACAAGCTACACAGCTGAGTCGACATCAGAGGATGCCCAATGAATGCAAGCCGATAACGGAGAGCACAGAATCAATTGAAGTGGATTAACTGATTGACTGGTTGGAATTAAACTGCAAGGAAAGTCATGATTAAATGTCACGGACACTTAAGCAAAACCAAAGATTTCCTCTGAACAACTTTCAATCAGGCCCAGAAAACCAAAAGCAGTAATAAAATAAGTAAGATGTTAAGAGATATTGATCTTGGCATGGAAGAGAGACCAAGAAAGACATTATTTATTTATGAGTGGGGGTGAAACATATTTTAAAGGACAAGGGGACTTAACCTTTTCAGTCCCATCATCTATACATAGCTTTATTTCTAAATACTTTTTTGTAAAGAAAAAATGTTATTTAATACCAAAGTAAAGGCTCAGTTACATTTTTCTTGCCCACATATATATGACAATGAATACATATGGACTTGTTTAGAAATGCACCTTTTTGTAGCATGATGCCATTGCTCTAAACACAGCGGCCGAGGAATTATTTAAATGCAGATGACATGGATGGGACACAGTTTAGTTTGGAGGACTGGAAGAATACCACAGTTTGTGCTTTTGTTTCATCGTAGTTACAAGTTGACGTTGATGATCTGTGTGTCCAGATATTGTTGTGAGGTGGAGCCATTTCTGAAACACTCAAGCCATTGTCTGACCAAAGAGGACATTTCACACTTCCATCATCTACTGAACCTGATTACAAACCATACTTTGTGCACTTTTCATGTTAAAGGTTTCAAAGACATTGTTTATGATATGTGGGATAGTTTGGGGGAAGTAAATATGTTGCAATATTACAAATAAATATATAAATGTATACATGTAGTGTGTATTGATGAGCAAAAAAGTAGGTTGTCTCTGAAATGAAAGTTTCCCCTCCTTTCAAAACTGAAGTTCACAGGGAACAGGTTTTGACAATAAAGCTCTGATTCAGAGAAAATACATCAAAGAAAATAGTTATGTGAAGTACAACAAGCATGACAAAAGTAACTAGACTGGCTGGGGAGTATAGGTTTATTAACTTCTTGCTCACAATGCATATATCAGTTGCCAAATGGTAATGGCACTTGCAGCTCTGCATTCTTGTCTTTCCCCTATGGTGTGAAGCAGCAGCTGCTGGCATCCATACTGTAGTAAGAACACCACTAAGCAGGCTTAAGCTAGAGAGGGCACTACAACATATATTTAACTGTAAAAAATAAACTTCTGTCACCATCCTGGCTATGCAGCTTGGCACGGGTCTGTCAATGTCATAAGTAGCTGAACAGAGCAATCAATATATTGGAGTTGATTACTAAAGGAGTTGACAATCATCATTTAATTAATTGTTGTGTTCACTTTGCATACCCAATCAAGTACAAATGAAATAGACAGGAATTTGTTTTTTTCACAAAATTGCATAATTATAGTAAACAGTCTCTACCCTAAGAGAATCGATCTTTTGACTGATAAAGGATGAGTGCATTTTCAAACCAATTGCACTTATTTTTGTTGCCCTACACCCCCTTCCTCCCCCTGAACTAATCTAGCCTGCCCCCTTCCTCAAGATGAATACTTACTGAGATATTGTGCCCTCTGACAAACCGTCCAACTTTATGAGATGAGAAATGGGGGCACCTTACGGCACAATGTATTTAGGCAATGGACACAACCCTGCTGCACCCCCAGTTACATGGATCATTAAGAATTTATATGCCAAAATTGATTGGTTAAACCCAGAATTGTTGTTTTCTACCAGTACTTATCCTTTATACTGTTTTTTTCTAAATAGTAAACAAGATAATTATAAGATAAGTTTGGGGTTTCAGTAGAGAAAAACTTTTGGTAGTTAGAGAGAACCTTTTCATAGATAGCTGTACATCAGTCTAAAAGGTGGGACAACTGAGGAGGAAAGAGGTACAGAGGTGCTTTGTTTCAAATGAGGAACGGTTCATCCAAATGAGGGACAGTTGGGAGGTATGCCCCCTGCTGTCTCTTTACATCCTGCAAGCAGATTTTCAGTGTTCTGGCCATTCCTGAAAAGTAGCTTCCCGTGAGTTCTATAGAATTAGAGTCCATAGACACTATAAAACCAGATTGTCCATATACATTATGACTGTGTATTTATTTGTCTGAATGGAGTTTAACATTAATGTTTGCCACTGAATTGCTCAAAGAGATGATGTTCCATGGTAAGGACATGATATATTGCTCAAAATTAAGAAGTTATAATACTTGCACTAGTATCTGTGATTGTTTATTTTTTTTTAAAGAAAACTATTCCTCTTGCATCCTCTATATATCTAAATTACAGAGATTTGTATGATCCCATTGTAAACTCAACAAGAATTTTCTCTTTTCCACTTTGCGTGAAAGTAAAAAAGTTTTGGCTGGAGTTGGACTTTAATTTACAATTTTATAACAAGGGGAACAATTACTTAATGGGGAAGTCCTAACACAAACAGTGGCCTAATTAATCAAGACTGAAGAAAACAAAATGATCACAGAATTAGAGTTGGTTAATGTCCCATGAATTATATTTTGACCTGTCTGTGTCCCATTGGGGAGACAGGGATCTTGGATACATAACAGTAAGTGAGAAGAAGTCTCTCCAAAGTAAAATAAATCCCTTCTAGTGACAATTGTCACCAGAACAGGTGTCTCAATTAGAGCATTTCACTAACCTCCTTTTCCAATGACAACTTTAAAATGTTCCAATTCCAATAATTTTCTCTCTCAGTTAAAATAGTCAGTAGAAAAGAAAGAAAGGTGAATCTCAGTAGAAGAGACACAGACAGCAATTAAACATTGACAAAGGCACAGAAATGACTATAGATACACTTAAAGTGTATGGACCCCCTGAAGAAGTAAGAAAATATATTTAGAGAAATTCAGCATGAGTGATAAGCCAGTCTTTGTGCTGATAATGTGATCTGCTGCTCCCAGGTGAAGCCAGCTAAAGCTATCAACAGTTGTACATTTCTACCTTGATTTAAGTCCTGTATGTACTATTATTATGAGAGCTGGCTTACTACATGTTCCTGATATGCACAAGCCCTCCCTAATGCTCTGCTGAGTTAAAAAGGTGTACCAATCCAAACGGCTCAATAGAGATTCAGTTAAAGTACAACTGAAGCTTCCTTATTTATTAATGTAATGCAATCGGGCTGAATATACAGTAATACATATGCTCTTCTTTCTGTGAATATGTGTGTACTAAGTGCGGCAGCAAGGGTTAAAATACATTTTGCTATCAGTATGCTGGAGATTTGGGCCACTGCTCTCACACACAAGCAGCACCCAGGTCTCCAACTGTCCGACACTCCCCCTTGCACACTTCTCCAATCAACAGCACTAGAACACTGTTGAATGGTGCAGGTGGTAGTGTCAGACCACCACATCAGCACCGGCCACAGCTTGTGCTGATGAGCAGCAGTTTGACTCTCCAGCATGCTGCTAGCACAAGGTATTTTAACACTTGTAGCAGCACTAGGTATGGAAAAATTCTCAGAAAGAAGAGAATATTTATTTCTATATCTTCAGTTTGATTGCATTATAGTAATAAATAGGTGTGGCTTCAATTGGGCTTTAAAGTGACACTAAACTCAGGATTTAAATCTTAAAAACACATTCAAGTACCTTAACTATTAACAATACTAGGGATGCACCGATACCGTTTTTTCTGTATCGAGTATGGGTACCGAAATTTTGCTTTCAGTACCCGCCGATATCGAGTACCGATAGCGGTACTGGCTCCATGTTCTTTTGCTGGCTTTATTGTGATTGGCTGGGAAACCGGCTTCCCAGCCAATCAACATCGAGCCGGCTTCCCAGCCAATCAGGAAGCCAGGCGGTAAGTAATGACCTGCCTCCGGGTTCCTGATTGGCCGGGAAGCTGGCTCCATGATAATTGGCTGGAAAGCCGGCTCAATGGACAATCAGCATCGTGTGGGCTGTTCAGACGGCTCGATGCTGATTGGCCGAAAACCCGGCTTCCAAGCCAAACAGCAAGGAGTCGGCAAGGAGCCTCCTGATTGCACGGTAAGCTAGCTTCATGTGTCCCCATGGCACTGCCTGTCAGAGGAAATCTTCCCCGACTGGAAGTTCCGGTATCGGGAAGGTATTGGAGCATTTGGGCTAGTACAAGTACTTGCCCAAATACTTGGTATCGGCACCGATACCGTTACTAGTATCGGTATCGGTGCATCCCTGAACAATGCACTGCATTTTATTTTGTGTATCACTCAATCTACAGCTGATGATACACAAATAAAGTACAGTTCTGTTAATAGTTAAAGGAACTTGAATTCATTTTTAAGATTTAACTAACTTTAGTGTCACTTTAAGCACCAGCCTCAGGGTGTGTTGTGTTAAAAGAAATATGGGTTGCAGTTAGACATGTGCACTGGAATTCGGATACATCCGAATGTCCGAATTTCCGAAAATTCGTCCGAATTTCGATTCGGAACAAAACGAATCGCACATGTCTAGTTGCAGTGTCTGCGGATGATGGCCTGATAAGCTTTAGGTAAATCATTACCTCAGCATGAATAAAAAGGGTCCACATCTCATCACTGGGCTATTCCAACACCAGTAGAGCAGAACGGAGGTGTTTTAAGGACACCGCAATGTAAATGTTGAAATAAAATGTTTTTAATCACTATTTATACCTTTTATAGTAGCTTTATTGATTGCCGACACTTAGCAACTGAAAGTTGATTTCTTATTGGTTGCTCTGTTCAAATACACAACAGGGCTGAATGCACTATATTATGTTAATTCATTGATTTGTCTCTCTCTTGACATATTCACAACACAGAATTCCTAGATTTTTACAATGGGTAAAAAAATGTGGGTCCCCCAATGCAAAACCTAAGTGTCATCTTTTTGTCCCAATGTATTTGTTTCTGTAACATGCTTTCTAAACAGATTTGTAATACCTGTGCTATACTGAACTGCCACTTTAATACACAGGCAGCTTTATGTCACATGCTCCAAAATGCTGCCAGAGCCTATAGCTGCTTTCCATATTGCGCTTATGGCATAACACTAGATGTGATATAATTATAGAAAACTAATACTAGCAGTGGCGGAACTACCAGGGTCGCAGAGGTCGCAGCCACGGCAGGGCCCTGCAGTTCCGTCACTTGGAGGGGGCCTAGGACTGGAGGAAGGGGCCCCTGGTAACCGCTGATTACCAGGATATTTAATATCCCCGTAACCGCGAATGTCAGTACCAGGACCTCTTCTTCCGGTCGTGGGCCCTAAGTGCTTCACGCTGCGCCCCTCACCTTGTTTAACTGGTAACAAATTGTTGAGTGCGTTTGTCGTTTGTTTTGCCTCACCTTGTTCCGGCGCAGCGTGAAGTATGATCCAGCCGGCGAAGCAGCCAATGAGTGGGAAGCAGGTTATCCCCGCCCCCTCATCACACAGAACGCTGCCAAATAGAGAGCTGCATCGGTAAGAGAGGCCTGCTGCGGACACAAATGGGGAGATATAGGGAGCTGGGACTATGAAGGGGACATGGAAGAGGAAAGTGTGGGGTCCGGGAACGGAAAGCTGGGGACGTGAAGGGAAGATGAGGGGAAACTGGGGACATGGAAGTGGAGAGTGTGGGGTCCGGGAGTGGAAATCTGGGGATATGAAGGGGGAGATAATGGGGGAGCTGGAGACATGGAAGAGGAGAGTGTGTTTTTTTTTGTCTAAATTTTTTTTTTTATAAAATAAATGTATCTAATTTTTTTTTGGGGGGGAAGCCTTTCATGGATTCTTGCATCG